ATTCAGTGAGTCAGATAACTAACAGAACACAAGAGGACAATTTTACCCCAGGATAGTTCTACACAGAAGCTTTAAATCTTTGTGTCTTCAGATAATGTCTATAAGAAGCTTTTTGTGGATGACATCACAGTATACAAAATGTTATTATGGTATTTTCATTTATATTGGCCATGCATTGCTCCAGTGTGGGCAGTAGCTCTTTACACTAGAATCATCTATATTGAAGAAAAGAAACCTTTTTTTTAATAACTCAGTAACCATCACCTCCAACTATTGCTAAAACATCTTAAATCTCTTGTTCTGGAAGAAAATTGCAGAAACCTCAATATAATCAAGACAATCTGGTCGGGCTTCCACATCCTTATGATAATCAAGTTTGGTTTCAACTCCTCCCAAAATGATACGCTGAGGAATCCATTAATATGCCTTGTAATCATAAGAACATTCATGTACTCAATAGATCAAATCACATCAAAATATAACAAGTTATAACAAGTGACTAACCCTGGAAGATGAGTGCCAGTTCTGAACCTTGCCATGGCATAAGGGACATCGTGTTAATCTCCACGCTGTCTGTTTTTGAGAGATTGCTGGTAGACAAAGGGTTATATAAGCATGTCCAGCTGTTGCAGCGAACGTGCCAGACAACGCACTGTGTGTGGCATTTTGCCATGAATGGGCTGGTCTGACAGTCCCCGTGGAGTGTTGCCCGCCCCGGAGTGGCTGTGCTTCTATTCATAAACTCAGTCAAGCTAACCCACCAGGTAGGAGCTTCGTCAGTCAGGTAGCCTGTGACCCACTAGTAAGTCAGGAAATTAATTTAGGGTCACAACCAGATCCTTTTCTAGAGAAAGAACAGAACGGGATGGGACAGAAAGTACCAGAAGCGATCACCCTGGTAAGAACAAAAGATCATTTCAGGAAGCTCTTGTTTCAGTCACGTATCTGTGTACTCTTACCAGACGATGATGTAACATGTGTGTCTTATGAGGTTCTACAGCTTTTACGTTACATTGCCTATTGGTATCACCTTCTAAAGAAATCTAGGTGACAAATAATTGTGGTGTTTGTCCGGAGGAGCCAAAACCCATGTACGCTGCAGTGTTTCTCAGCGTGTGCTACGGAACACCCAGTGTGGAACCCCGGGGGGCTTGCTGAGAGGCCTACGCGTGACTTCACTTCAGTACCTCTCCGGGGGCGTCCCTAGAGGCGAGCATGGCCACCTTCGGCTATTATCACACGCCAGGTTTTTATCACGCAAAGTCAGCGGAATCACTCTTCTGCCCCCACAGTTAAGGACCCTCTTCCCTTCTCCATCTACCTGCAGGAAGTCATAATGATCCTATTTGATGTCCCACCATGTCCTAGGCTAGCAAAGGACAGTTCTGAACCAAGTGCCATGCCCAGGAGGTGGGTGGCAGTCCCTCATCAGCCTGTGTGGCCTGACCTTAGGCACTGATCACTGGGCAGTATCTCTGTGCAAATAATAATTGAAATAAATGCTCAGGGTGTGATGGACAGCTTGAACTCTCCCTCTCTCTCTCTTGGGAATTGCATGACGTCTGTCACCAGGCCATTCTGCTACCAGCAGAATCCAATGGGTTTCTGCAGCATTTGGTGCCTGGGTGAAACCAGCTGTCAGCATAGGTGCAGCATGACGGGGCCATGCTTACCAGACCGCAAAGTTCACCCAGGACAGCCACCCAGGCTGCAAGAATGATGCCCAATAATAACCTGTAGTCCTTCCAGCGTATGCCTTGTCAACCCAAACCTGTGAAAATCATGACACACAGCCCATGTCCGACCTGAATTCTGATAGTCGGATAAATAGTTAGTCACTTACGGGACTTTCAGTGGTTATCATCCACCGTGAGCAGGACATTCCTTATTCTTTACATTAATACTTGCTGCTGCCCTAAATACACATCTCCTACAATTTCTGTTGGAAATCAATTTCAATAACTTATCTCTTTGTAGATTAAATACATACATATGTGTATACAACCAAATTATTCACATTGTTATCTTCAATGTACTCTATTATTCTCTGATGAAAATACTAAAATCTTGGGGAACAATACACTTCGCATCAACCCTTCCAATACAGTCATGTATCACTTAACAATGGGGATTAGTTCTGAGACACGTATCATTAGGGGATTTCGTTGCTGTGCAAACATCCTAGAGTGTATTTACACAAACCTAGATGGTACACCTACTATACAACCAGGCTATATGGTATAGCCATGGTTCCTAGGCTCCATATTGTAGGCAAGTGTAACATAATGGCGGGCATTTATGCATCTAAATGTGTCTAAACATAGAAAAGGAACAGTGAAAATAAGGTATAAAAGACGAAAAACAGTGCACCTGTATAGGGCAGCTCCATTGTAATATCTTATGAGACAACCATCGTATATGTGGTTCAGTTGTTAACCAAAATGTCTTTTATGTGCTGCATGACTGTAATTTTATAATAAATTAGCCCCTTAGTTTTCATTTTTCTACAAAAGTGTGCAAATTCCTTTAACCTCCACTCATATAGCCACTCATTTTTACAACTCCAATCTCGTGTTGACTTTTCTCCTATGTGCCTGCCTTCTGTACTTACGAACGTCTGTTAAACGTCAATTTGCCTCGAGTGTGACTAAGTAGGTGTTTGCTCACACGTTCTTTTATGTTTTTGTTCCTGACTCTGCCCTTTCTCTCCAGCTGTTCATTATCTTTCCATAGGGGCTTTATTAAATGTCAGCAGTTTCCAAATGTAGTTCTCTGTCCCAGATTAACCCAAGCACTATGGCTTTTATTCCTCTGACACACTTAGCTTCTAATAAAATCTCAAATTTATTTTAAAGCTGAAATATTCCTCAGCTTTAAAGCAAATCTGAAAATCACTGCTTATGGTAGATGATGCTATGTGTTCACCAAGATGTGTTTCCTTTTCCTCTTGCTGAGCACAAAGGGAGACTGCACTTAGCCAAGCGAGGTGGGAGACATGGTGATCCCGGAATGGAAGCGATATGCATCCCTTTCAGCATGAGGTAAGGGAAAGTCCCCAAGTGACCCTCTGACTCTGTTCTCTTGTGGTTGCAATTGGACAGGCCATCTATTGAGATGACAGAGCCACACGATCTCAGCAACCTGGATCCCTGAGTCTCCATGTGGAGCACAGCTTCCCTGGAGCACCACCCAATCAGTAATAGATTTTGTACAGGCAAGAAATAAATTTTCAAGTGCTAATCCAATGACATGTTGTCAGTCTTATCTGACAAACACAGAAATTGGCAACAGAAGTAGGACACTAACCAAAATAAAACTTAAATTGTGTGGTGCTATCTGAGCAGCTGGGCAGCTGGTACACACAGTACTCTCTGGAACCAAGTCCCAGAGGCTGAAACGGAGAATGGTTATTAATATAAATGACCAACGACTTCTTTCTATATTTCAAGTTAAATTACAGTTTAGATTTTAAGAAAATATGTTGAAATGTGGAAGTGATGTGAGCCGTAGGAGTTAATAATTCTAATATTTTTGCCTTATTTTTAGAGACTGGATGTGATACTATCAAGTGAAACTTTTGTGTAAGTCACTTAATAGTCTATTCAGACAGCCAAGTCATGAGTGAGTTTCCCTCTGAGCTGTATAAAACACCTCTGTAATACCAGAGAGGCGCACTAGAATATGCCCTATGATTTATCTATTGCAGAACCAGTGATGTCATGGGTGCAGGCACTGTTGCATCCCAAGGCGAATGCATTACCCTTATACTGTTTCATAACAGAAGGCAGGAGAGGGTCAGGGGAACCACCGCCCACTCCAGACCTCCAGTAGAGCATCAGCTCTTCACACACGCAAAACACACAGGGGAATGCAATAACCCTCCGTGTAAGGAAATGACCACATAATTTTCACAGAGTAAATTACCTTTTACCTATCTCGCCAGCCCTAAATTAAGTAGTTTCTGCCTACCTTACCTATGTATTTTCTTCTTTGGCTGAGCATTTTGTTTCAGAAAAAAAAAAAAAAAAAAAAAGAGGCTGTTTTTAAATTAAATCCCTGATAAACTTTCCTTCCATCATAATAATTTCCTTTTCATCATCTGGTATGATTTTATAATTTTGTGTCATGTGGTTAATTGTTATCTATATTACCTCTATCTCCTTTAAATCTTTAAATCACCCAAGAAAGCTCTTTTAAATCTTCCATAAAGTTTAAGTTGCCATAAAGATTGAAGCTTTGATGTTCAGATGAAATTTTCATTTTTCTTTTAAATGCTGTCCTCTAAAGTTGCAAATGGAACAAAACAGTTTTATTGGTTTATTTGCTTGTTTTGAATAGACAGTGTTCCTCATATAGCCTCTGTATTGCATCTGTGTCACTGTATCTATAGACTCTACACGGTACACACTATAATACAGATATGTGCCGTGTCTGTCTACATTGCTCAGGATTGTTGGCCGGTCCTCGGTTCACGGTTACTCTGCTTGCTGACTGCAACCCCCAAACTATGAATTCAGTGGGATCCAACACACCCAAAAGAGATAATTCACTTCACCTAGTTTTCTCATGGAGTTTTTCTTTTTTTTGGCTCAGAGATTGGCCCAAAATATTTTAGATCTTTCCACATTGTTTATATCATAAGGACAGCTTCTATACTAGACATTTACTATTATCTTTCCTCTCTTGACTGCCACATTTCAGGAGTAAAGACCACGGTGCTATGTGACGCCTCCTCTGTCATCAGGGGTCATTACTTTGGCACAGGCTTCCCAGCCCAGCGATTCTGACGAGAGCTCACTGTGTGGTGACTCTTTTCCGAGGCCACCAAACAGGTGCCACGTCCTTTCCCACCTCCCTCCTCCAGAGCACCTGGCTAGACCAATATGCTAAGTAGGGAAGGGATGATGCAGTTGGCATAACCCTACTCCTTCCCCACCTCCACGGGAAACAACAGAGCATGCTTTCGCACACGCAGCACTGCAAGAAGAGGCGGCACCCACCTGTGAATGAAGTGGGTGGCTTCTGCCGTCAGCCTTTGGGTGAGATTGTCGTAGGACATGGGCTGCTGGGTGATCTCGTAGTCCCTCATCAGGAAGCAGTTCAGGGGCCGAAAGTAGTGAAGGAAGCACAGGAAGAGGACTAGGATCATGCCCGCCAGGAGGAGAAGGCAGAAGAAGACGCTGTGAGGCACACGGAGCAGCCCCAGGCAGTTGAGTACGGCTAGGGTGAGGACGGTGACCCCAAGGATCTGCAGGGGGATGAAGACCAGCTTCCTGAAGGCCATGGTGAAGACGGTGCCCTCCCCTGGCTTGCAGTCTCTCAGGTTTGTCACGGTCAGCCCGTAGAAGTAGTCAAAGCCATGACGTAATGGGTGGTGACAAAAATCAGTCTTGTTGTGACAGTTCATCCCGAGGTGCCACTTCCCTGAGGAGACAAACTGGTTGGTGATGCCGATAAACACCCTGATTCCAACACCAGCTTCTGATGCAAACACAGAAAAGCTGGCTCCTTCTGCCTTAGGGGCCAGGGCTCCCCACTCATAGGACCCTACAGTTTTTCACTTCCTCTTCTTCAAACACTAACGTATTAGCCACTCGCACTACTGGAAAATAAGAACTAATTTAATGATTGCAAAAAAGAAAACCAACAAAAACTAAACCAGTGATGGCAAAAGAGAAAAACAACAAAAACAAAACCATGTAACGTCTTTAATAGGTAGGCAGCAAAACTACATAGAAAAATACAAGCTTTTTTTTTTTTTTTCTGGACAGATACTTTTCTGAGATTCATCCTTAAAATTAAAGTTTTAGAACCAACATAATTTTGTGCCTTGAATGTTAAAAGTTGAAATGAATCCTTACTCAAAAACCCACCCCTGGGGCATGAGGAAATCATATTCAGGAACTTAGCAATTATTTTAAACACCTCTGAAATGTCTTATAAAATGTTAATTATGCCATGAAATTAATGAGTGCCTCACAAAAGAAAAAAAAAGAGACAATGGTTTTATAACAAGACGTCAGAGGAAAGGACCGTTTTGCTCCTATGAGATTTTCTAGGATTCATTCCATGACCTGACCTGCTTAGACCCAAGCCTGTCATGCCAACAGGGAGAACACATCATTCCTACCAATGGAATAAAATCAACGGGAATGTCAACCAAGATAAATTCTGACACAATTTTATTAATAGTATTGAAAAATAAAATGAAAATCCTTGTCAATAGCATAGCGTGTATATGTAGCTTTGTATGATCTCTCAGTGTATATCTGCCATCTATCATCTGTCTATCTCATCCATCTATCCTTCTGTCCATCCAAGCATCCACCTGTCCATCTTATCTATCATCTGTCTATCTCATCCATCTATCCTTCTGTCCATCCAAGCATCCACCTGTCCATCTTATCTATCATCTGTCTATCTGTCTGATCTACCCTATGTATATATGTATGTATTTATCTATTTATTGTTATCATAATCATCTGTCTCATCTATCATCTACCTCATCCATCCATCCATCTATCCATCAACTCACCTATCTATCCATCTGTCATCATCTGCCTCATCTATCTCATCCATCCATCCATCTTTCTATTATCTGCCTCTTCTATCATCTATCTCATCCATCCATCTATCCACCTCATATATCATCTATCTTTCTATCATTATCTGTCTCTTCTATCATCTATCTCATCCATCCATGCATCTATCCATCCATCTCATTTATCATCTATCCATTATCATCTGTTTCATCTATCATCCATCTCATCCATCCATCCATCCATCCATCTCATCTATCATCTATCTATCTTTCTATCATTATCTGTCTCTTCTATCATCGGTCTCATCCATCCACGCATCTATCTATCCATCTGTCTATCTCATCTATCCATCGTCATCTGTGTCATCTATCATCTAATCCATCCATCAATCTATCTGTCCACCCATCCATCTATCCATCCATCTCATCTAACATCTATCGTCATCTGCCTCATCTATCGCCTATCTCATCCATCCATTGATGGATCTCTCCATCAATCCATCCTTCTATCCATTCATCCATGCATCCATCCATCCATCTCATCTATCATCTATCATTTATCTATCTATATACATACACACACAAAAAAGGACACATATCTATACATGAAAATAGCCCGGATAGGCACACTATGTGTTAATCTAGGATTGAAATCATTTCATTCCTGTTTAAAGTTGTGCAAAGTGTATCAGTGATGTCAACCCTAAGAAGGCTGCTGTGATGCCCTCTCACACTCTCTTGCTAACTTTTCCCAAGTCCGGCCCCTTGTCCTCCTCAGGTGCCCATACCTATTAGTGCTGTTGAATAGCCTTGATTCTTCAGAAGCTTGGCAAACGTAATCTCATTAGAGGGAAGTCCTCCAGAAGAGGCTGTGAAGATGAAGACTCCACTTCGGTACCAAGATGCCATTCCTGAAGCAGGGAAAAACAAAAATCAATCCTTAGGAACCAGAAGAACACTGGGGCTGGGAGGCTGCCCTGAGGGGGACAATAGCACCAGCAATGTAGACAGGAGGCTACCTGATCGCACGGGGTACCGGCCGGTCATGAAGGCTGCCCTGCTTGGTGTGCACAGGGGTGATGCTGCCAAGTGCTGAGTGAGTTTTGCTCCTTCACTGGCCAACCGGTCAATATTGGGAGTCCTAGAACAAGAGAATCATGGCATTTGTGATGATCTTCAAAATGAACTGTCCTGTGGTTCTTCATGATGGGAAAACTCTCAATGATCAAGGGCAACTGGGTGATCATGGAGGGGAGAAAGGCATTATGGAAGGCAGAGGAGGTGAGGAAGACATGACACAGAACAAAGACTCAAAGTAGAACAAAACATGGAGATATCTAAATGATCCAGGTGGGATGTCCCCGGGAGTCCATTCATGTTCTAAGAGGGCTCTGAGCACCTGTTCCCTCCAGCCCTGGGTTAGAAGAGGGGAACCATGTTGGGCAACGGACCACTTCAAGGAAGGAAGGTAAGAGATGAGTGAAGATTAGATTTCAGTCTCTTCCTGCCCACATCCCCCAAGTTACCTTTGTGCCCCCAAGGGAGAAAGCTCTGGGGTCAGCCTGACTCCTCTTTGCCAAACCACACATACACACAGCCAAAAGGAATCCCACAACCAGCTCTTATGAGCCTCCGTCTAATTTCCACATGCTCCCAGGGACAAGGGAATAATGAGACTCCATGTGCCTCTACCAATGAACATCAACAAATGGGTTAACATGGTCCAGGGAAAAGGGACAGAGACCATAGTGAAGAAATGATATGCTGTCTCATCTATCATCTATCTCATCCATCCATCCATCTATACACACTTTGTTGGCTTATTTTTTTTATATGCTTAATAAATATTTATCACGTCACTTCTAGGATGATGCATTATGCAAGACAAATGATCCTGGTGCCTTTTCTCCATGAATGGATTGGCTGATCATCTTTGGAAGTCATTCAGGAACTAACATCTTTCAGTTTGGGGACCACACCAAGCTATGTCTCCCACATTCTCCACCAGAAACCCAGGCCCCTTTCTCTCTGCCTGGATGGTCATCTTCCATCCTTTAGTTCTGGGCATAGATGGAATTTTTATGGTCAGCCAGTGGTCCCCCGTCCATGGGAGGGGACTGATATATGTGTAGGACAGTAGTCCCTGTGCTCCCATCACAGCAGCTTCCTCACTATAAAGTGATGACATGACTAATTGTGTTCCCCTGCAGGATGGCTGCCTGTGGGTTGGGAGTCTGCCTCTTGCTCACTGGTCCCACGGCTTACCTAGACCAGTGTCCACATAAAGTAGTGCCACAGTGATTCACGGGGGAAAATCATTTCATTGCATTTGTAATGTCAGACCAGTTTGCCATCTATTAATTTAGAGTATGCATTCAATTGTCAATATTTCTACTCTGCTTTTGCCTTAAAGGATATGATGCCTGGAAGACAGAAATTGTGTATTTGGCTTAAACCTCAATATGCCTAGACTGGCCCGTGGAAGAATTTGACTATTTTGGGGTATGATATTGTAAAATATAAAATAAGAAATGTAATTCGGAAAGAATAGGACTCTAATATGGAGAGCAAGATAGATTGAGGGTAGATACTGCTATGAATTTTTCTATGGGATTTTATAGACTTTTTTTTTTTGAAAATTGGTAGAGATTTAACCTTAAAGCCTTGATTTTAATTTTTTAATTATTAAGACATCTTAGTAGGAACAGGTACCTGTTATCTTAATAACCTTAGCAGTATATACTATTAAAAATAAATAGGTAAAATGGGAAAAAATGAAATTATGACCCTGATAAGAAAAACTAAATTAATAAGATCTGTGTCACGAATGTCAAAAAGTGATCTCTAAACTTTTACAAGAATTAGGTTGTAAAACCTTAATAATTGCTAAGGTTATTAAGATAAAAGGAAGGGGGCAGAAAACACACATGGTCAACTAATATTTTAAGAGAACCTTGAGTGCAGATCTTATCCCTGTGTGTGCTTTTTAAAAATCTTACCCATGACATACGTCGGTATACACATTAAAAACAAAAAGCAACATTTGGTGCAAAGATACATTTGGCTATGTCTTGTGGGCAAGTTTTTCCTTAAAAGAATAATTTATTTAATTTTCATTTGCTCTGATATGTAGATGAAATATACACTTTCCACGATGCTTTGTCACATGGAAAAGACGAGAAGTCAGAGTCAATGGCATAAAAATAAGTCATTGTCCCCTGACTCCTGCCAATGGGCCCATCCCCAGCCTCAGATGTTTAGTATTCACGGATCCTATAAGAAAACTGCAATAAAAGCAAATGATTTCTTTCCCCATCCTCTCCTTTAATTTAGTTTGTATTGATCTTTTGTGTGATGAAGCTCTCGACAGAACTGTTTTTATGTCATTGTTTCCTCATTATTAGGAAGAGAAAATGAAACTCTCATGTCAATATTCTATGGCAAAAAGACTTACTTTCCTTTTTCAACTAAAGGGCCCTTAAAATATGTATTACATTAAGTCGAGTTTTGGCAGAGTGCTTAGGAACAAATACCCTCCTCTGGGAGGATGTTCAGCGGCAAGCGTTGGATGCTCCCAAGTCGAGTTCCCGTTGTGTTTTTCCCACTGTTGTTATGCTATCAGAAAACATGACATCTCTCCCCATAGTTGTTTCTCAGTGCCCTGGTCTGAACGTGTGTGTCCCCTCAAAATTTGGATGTTGACATCCTCACCCACAAGGTGATGGTGTTAGGAGGTGGAGCCTTTGGGAGGTGATGAGGTCATGAGGATGGACCCTCATGGATGGGATTATTACACTTATAAATGGGATCCCAGAGAGCTCCCTCACCCCTTCCATGTGAGGACACAGCGAGAAGGCGCCGTTTATAAACCAGGAAGTGAGTCCTCACCAGACACAGACTCTGCCACGCCGGGATCTTAAACTTCCAGCCTCCAGAACTGTGAGCAACAAACGCCTGCTGTTTACAAGCCACCCGCCAGGTCCATGGTATTTTGTTACAGCAGCCTGGATGGACCCAGACCACCTGGGTGGCTGAAGAGGAAGGGCCTAGGTGGGTGGGAGAGTTAGGTATGTAGGTGAGAGTGGCTGGTTGATAACCCGGGATGGAGTGAGGCAGGCTCAGAACCAACCAGAACAATGGCAGATGCCAAAAAGAAAACACGAAATAGGGAACAAAAGGGACTGAAATGAGAATGTGTACAAAGCAGCATAGCAGTGGCCCATCAGAAAGAAACATACAGCCATGCACGGAAGCATGCCGCTCAGAGGGTTTGAAACGTTTCTTCATGGTCTGTGTTCTTAGATCTGTGTTAACTGTCCCTGGGGCCCGTTGCCTACAAACAGAGCCAAGTGTTTACGCGGGAACTCGTCACCCAACCTGAGCGTCTTGTTCCCATAGCATCCCGGATCTCCGATGCCGAGGTCGTCGGCCATGACCAGCACGATGTTCGGCCTTGGTGCTGAGTGGCTCTGGGCTTCCCATAGGAATAACAGCAGGAGGGAAAGGACTCTCATCTTCCTGCAAAGGGCAAGGAGACAAAGGGAACTGAAGGGTGCCGGCTGGTGCTTGCTGCGCCCCCACTTCTCTCGGACCCTTCTTCCTCCTTGCACAAGTTTCAGGAGGGGTCATTCTCAAAACCTGCCCGCCCCTGACAATGCGTGTTCAGAAGACACTTATCTAAGAGGTTGCTGGGCAAATAATTTTATCCTCTTTCCCACTGGTTTGCTTGCGAACCACACACTGCCTTCTCCATGGCTAGCCACGACCTCTCCTTTGTCTCCTAGGCCGAAACTGAGGTTCTGTTAGAAACATGAAAACACAATTGTCCCCAGCCCCCGTCATCTCTTTATTGAAGGCAGGCCCCTTCATGAGCTAAATGTCCTCTCTTTGAGTGCCGGAAAGACAGGTGTTCCATGAAGATCCAATTTTCAATGCCATCTCCTTTCTAAAATTAACTATGAGTTTCAGTTTAGTAGCTTTTTAAAGGGAAATGTATAAACCCTGTGAAACTGCAAGTGCACAGGGCCACCAGCCTGGGACAGCTCTGTGTGCTGGCAAACGTACCGAGGGAAGGGAACTCATCCATCATCTTTGTCCGCCATCCCAGCACAAGCTCACCTTATGGCATTTCATGCCTTGCAAGAATAGCAGGCCGGAGGAATTTTAGGGGAGGATGATGGCTTGAGCACACACACTGGACACCCGCCTGTCTGAGGCCCACTGATCGTCATGATACTGTGGTTGGCAGAACAACGGCCCTCACTGCAAAGATGTCTGTGCGTTTGTCTCCGGAAAGCTGTGAATATGTTACTTTACATGGCAAAGGGGACTTTGCAGATGGGATTAAAGACCTTGAGATGGGGAAATTATCTTGGATTATCCAATTGGGCCACATGCAATCATATAAACATCCTCATTAAAAAGAGGCAGAGGACAGGATATTCAACTACAGAACAAGAGGAACACAATGATGTGAGTGGCCTCCTAGAAGCTAGAAAAGGCAAGGAAACAAAGTCCCCGCTAAAGCCTCCCGATGGAGCCAGCTCTGCTGACACTTTGATTTTAGCTCCCTAAGACTCATTTTGGATTTCTGGCCTCCAGAACCGTAAGATAAGAAATTGGTGTTGTTTTAACCGCCAGGTTGTTGTCATCTGTTACGGCAGCTACAGGAGACCAATGCCCTTGGTACGTTAAGCGTGCGCTGTGTGCCTGTTCTGTTCACTGCTCCATCCTTACAACACAGAACGGTTCTTGGCTCACGGAGGGCATACATGTGTTCGTGTCTGTCATGTTAGAAACTTCACGCAAACACAGGGGGATCCTTGGCACTCTGCTCACATTTAAAAGTGAGACCCAGGAAGCTGGTTCAAGAGCTTGCACGTATGTCAGTGGGATCTGCAGGCTTCTCCCTCGAGGAAGCAGGTGCTAGGCTGGGCTTTGTGTTGACAGACTCGAAAAGTCAGGACCCGCAAGCCTGTTTCTCCACTGAGGAACTCATCTATCTGCTTGGGGTGTAGATCCTTCAGGCCGGCAGCCTTCTGGGGTCACAGGAAGGGAGGGTACTGGCGTATCTCCCTTCACGACAGGGACGCTCCCCAGTCCTCTGGTTCCAACCCCTTGCTTTCCCTCTGCTCTGGGCTGTGCCTGATGCATTTTTTTTCCCCATAGAACAAGCTCACTTCCTGATAGGAGGGGAGAGCTGTCTCGCTCTGCAGACTTGGGGGGTGAGATAGGGAAGCCCAACTTCTCCCATCAAGACATGCAAACAGTCCTTTGGTTTTCAGCCTCATTCCTCAACCCATCTGCAGAGGTTCCCAGAGCTCCCAAGTGCTGGGCCTTGCTGGGTTCTCTGGTGCCAGCATCACTCTTCTTGCTGGCTTCCCGCTCAACAGACAGTGGGTGTCTCCTCATCCCTTCCTGCTAAGCCACTGACTTGCCGTCTGCCACAGTCCTCTCCCCACCTCCTGTGTGGAGGTCAACCTGGCAGGCTGAACACAAAGATAGTCTCTGTGTTGGATCCTCTCTTGTCTGGGGACGGGGGAGGGTGGGCACTGGCTTTCTAGTTCATTTTGGTGTTTGTCTTTCTTCTCACTCTGGTTTTGCTGCCCCAACCAACACCCTCCCACCGCCCCTGCCCCAGCCCACAATGTGTTCTCCATTAAGAATGAGCGTTATGTCGCAGCAGCCACAGGGATACTGTTCAATGTGTTTCCCGGCCGGGCAGAGCGGGGAGAGGCCTGGCAGGCTCCCTGGACACGGCAGGTGGGTGGGTGAGAAACCGTACTCCAGGGCCTCGCTCAACGTCACTGTTCGTCTTATCCTCTTCCCGCCAGCACTGCAGGCGACACGGTTCCCAGCCTCTGGTTTCCTGCCCCAAGCCAGGTTCTCGCTCTGGACAACTTCCAGAGCTAGGTCTCCAGCTCTGCGGTTCTGCACAGGCTGTGAGACGAGGAGTCGGAGCTCGTCGCTGTGTCTTTCTGTTCCTCGCTGGCCCATGGAGGCTTCCTGAGCCCTGCTGTCCATCTCTGCTCCCCAGGGCCACCTTCACTGTCATTGCTGTGTCTCTGCAGTGCTGATGTCTGCTGGTGGGATCCTCTTGACCTCAGTCAACTCTCAGCAGCCTCGCTGGGTGCTGACAGCTCCCTGGTCACGGAAGGCACCTGGCATCATGGCCAGTGCACAAAGCAGGGCAGGTCCCTCCTGCTTGGCCCTCACTGGTCAGAGCGGGCCCTTCCCTCTGTCGGGAATGTGACCCCCTTTGAACACACTGGCCCAGCTTTCTGCTGTGTCCCTCTGTTTGCAGGGTCTGGATTGCTGTTCTTCCCCATTCGTGGACTTTGGAACCAGCATCACGACCCCACATAACCACAGAGGCTGGACGGGAGATGAGAAATGACCTGGGTTTAAGAATCAAGAGAGGGAGAGGACCTTTGCCAGCCAAGAGCTTGCCCCCTGCTAAAGAACGCCACCCTTGCAGGAGCTTCTGTTGTCATTTTTTAGGAGAAGACAGATCCACAGATTTGCCTGCATGATGACATCACTACCAATTTAGTAATCTGAAGAAAAGTGTGGGCCAACCTGGTGCAAAATACTCAAACAAACAAATAAAAAACAATAAAAAACAACAACTAAACATATTTATTGGGCACGTGCCACTCGTGGGTGTCCACTGTCCGGTCCATACTTTAAATGTTGTGAGCCACAAGACACATTCTGCTTCCCCAATCTCCTCCATGTCCTTGCGAGACGTAGCTGCCATCTCTGTGGGATTAAATGCTGGCTGAATGCTAAGAATACCTATGTTTTACTTCCAGATCGACTGCACGTCCAACCACTGAGCTAAAATCTCTATGCAGTCATCTACCTGGCACCTCAAATTCAACACGTTCAAAACAGAGATTATGAGTATAAAAAGTACTCTGCTATACTACGTGAAGCTGTATTTGCAACTGCGTCTAAAGGCCACCTGTTCAGTTTAATCTGCCTCCATGCTCAGTACAGACAAAGCGGACGCAGAGTGACTTCCCACTGAATCCCTCACATGAAACCACGTGAAATAACCGAATTCCACAGGCCTTAACGCCAACGACCGTGTCTATCTTTGAATGCTTAACCTGATAAATATGTTTTGAAAGAAATAAGAAATGGACTGTTTCTTTAAAACAAACAATCAAACAAGGAAACAAAAACATGGGTTAAGAATACAGAGTTTATACAACCAAGAGGTGTTATGGACTCAAAGGCCGGCTTGAGGTCATACGACATGAAGATAATATTCAGATAATACCATTTCAGTTAGCAAAGGCCCTGTGCATTGCGTATCCTGATTCTCTTCACTTCTGACGGGAAAACAAAGACCCAGAGAGATTCAGTGAGTTGCCCTGGTCATACTCCAAGTGAATAGTGGTTTTTACGTTAGAACCCAGGACTCTTCTCCCAGGTTATCCCGGGTACAGGACAGCATTCCGAAGGCTTCTCAGCATCCCACTGAGGATGCTGAGAAAAGGAGGAGGAGGAGACTTCGGCCTTTTTCAAATTTCTCCCACCAGTTTCCCTGACCACTGAATGACACCTGTCATTTTCCGGGGCTCTGGAGCAAGGACTCTTCTTCCCGCTGGAGGGAGAAGCAACGGCAGGGTCAAGGCTGTCCCTCTAATGCACCCACAGGCACTGCCCACCCCACCTGTGTCCCACCACCTTGGTGACGATGCTGAGGACACCGAGGTCTGCATCATGGGCACCGTGGCTCCACACTGCCAAAGCCCCTGGTGCTTCCAGATGCCCGGCTGTTGCCCTGGTCACTCCCCACCCTCGAAGCTGCCAGCTACGTGCTGCCGATGCCTCGCTCTCCTAATATTCCATGTAGGTCCCAGTAAAAACACACTTCACTGTCTTCTTTCCCATGGATGAACCCACTACTGCTTGCAAGCTGGGGTTTAGGTAGACTCCCCTCTGAGCGATGGATGGACACGGTCCTCGGCATCTACCCTCCCCTCTAATGCTGGCCCTCTGGCTCTGGGCCACACTGCTTCTGGGACTAGACTTGGAATGCATTCCATCCCAGGAGGCTCCTTGTCTTGGTGAAACAGACTTTGGGAACTGCCCTTGAATCCGGAAGACATGTCTCTACCCTGGACAGTGTATACCTTAGACATAGGTTGGGCTCACAGTTACATTGATAAATGCATGTTATAGGCTAATCATCTCTATAAAAATAAGACTTGTATTCATTACATAAATGGGTGGTTGATTACATTATTACTATTTTTTTTAAAGCATTCAATCCCTGGGGAATTGGGAATTATTGTTAAATGGGTGCACAATTTCAGTTCTGCAAGATGAAAAGAGTTCCAGAGAGGAACAGTGGTAACGGCTGCACAATGGTGTGAATGTACTTAATGCCACTTAAAAATGGTTAGGATGATAAATTTTATGTATGTGTATTTTTACAATTAAAAATAGTAATAATTTTCTTAAAAATCCAAATGAGTTAAAAAAAATTCTTGTAATGTTAAATT